CTATTAGTTCTTATAATTATTGAATACATATTATACTTTTTATTGCAAAAAAGGAGTATCCCATGAACACACATTGTAAGGCTTTAGGATCAATTTTTTATTGTTGATGTGAATAAATATGAACATAGGCGACACACTCAAATATTCATAGGACCAAGTGGTTTGTGACATTTATTTTTAGGTAGAATTTGGAAAGGATTTCTAGAGAATCTTTTGAATTCTAGTGCACTTGAGGTAAGCGATTAATAACATATGTGGCGGTAAAGACAACTTCACTCTGATCTTTTTTCGGGACATGGTTCTGGAATAGAAAGGCTCTAATGGTCGCAGGAAGATGATTGTTCTTATATGCTGTTTCTGTTTTGTTATGGAGTGTGAACACATGGTAATTCATAAATAATCCCTTGGTGACAAAATGAGAAGATTTGGTGGTTCAAAAAATCTTTTGCATTATTAGTGCGAAATTGTTCTGTGTGAGTTCTAAATTGAGTTTTTATCATCTTACAAAACTGGAGTGTTATGTGGCTAATAACTAATTTGGATTTGATTAAGAAAAGACATGTTTGCCTTAGTTTTTGAGGTAAAAAAGAATGTTTATTAAGTATAGACACCAAGGGGGTGTTGTCCCTATATAAAATATTTACAATTCAGTTAAATATCAAAAACTTTCCCAAAATCATTCGACCCATAAACATCATGCCCCAAAATCAGAGATTCAAAAGTATACAACCATCTATCCCTAATTCTGACAATATCTCTCACACACCCAAAAGTTTATGAAAAAGCCATGTTTACCTTAGTGCGATCATTAATAAATTATATAAATCATCAATTCTCAGAAATATTTGGAATGTGGGTTATGACCCCAAACATCACTATAGCTTAAAGAAAATGGAAGCATACTTCTTTTCTCGCTAATAGGAAAGTTTACATGCTTATATTTAACTAACTCGCATATATCGCAATGTAAACTTTCATAATCAGAAATATTTTGCTAGTATAAAACAATTTCCTATTTTATCCAAACTCTTAACTAAATATTACTGTAAAATGTACATATGTAACAAATGTATATATATACATGTATACTTACACTAGGGGCAACTTAGTTTTTTCTTAGGTTGTTAGGAGAGCTGATATTGTTAGGATAACTGGGTATTTCTCTCCACCATTTTTAACTATTTTGTTAGCATTTTTTTAACTGTTTTTGTCCTGGCTGATGGCTTGTATAATGACACATTTGTGCCCATGTAATCACAAGAAAAATCAAAGGAATTCTCCTCTTCTCACAAACCTTCTTTCTTTATTTTTTTCATGATATCAGAGCAAACCATTTTGAGATAAAAAAAAATGTTTATTAAATATAGACACCAAGGGGGTGTTGCCCCTGTATAAAATATTTACAAGTCAGTTAAATATCAAAAACTTTCCTAAAATCATTCCACTCATAAACATCATGCCCCAGAATCAGAGATTCAAAAGTATACAACCATCTATCTCTAATTCTGCTAATGTCTCTCACACACCCAAAAATTTATGAAAAAGCCATGTTTGCCTTAGTGCGATCATTAATAAATTATATAAATCATCAATTCTCAGAAATATTTGGAATGTGGATTATGACCCCAAACATTACTATGGCTTAAAGAAAATGGAAGCATACTTCTTTTCTTGTTAATAGGAAAATAGTTTGTCTCCTTCATTGATGATCACACTAGAATAAGCTGAATCTATCTGATGAAAGAAAAATTTGAGGTTGGTCTAATCTTTCACAAATTTAGCACTATAATTCAAAATCAATTTTAAAAAAAATACAAGTGTTAAAAACTAACAATGCATGTGAGTATTTTGCATCCAACCTAGGAAAATTCTTTATTGACCAAGGCATTGTCTATCAAATTTCTTGTCCTTACGCCCCTCAACAGAATGGTGTAGGTGAAAGGAAAAATAGGCACATCCTTGAAGTATTTCGCTCACTTATATTTACCACAAACGTTCCGAAATTTCTTTGGGGAAAGGCTATTCTCACTGCTACATATCTGATCAACAGGATGCCCTCCCGTATCCTTAAGTTCAAAACACCTTATGATTCACTTGTTCAAGCATTCCTAATATCACACATTCTTCACACAATTTCTTTTAAAATCTTTGGCTGCTTTACCTATGTTCACATTCACAGTCACCTCAGAGGGAAAGTAGATCCTAGAGCTCTCAAATGTGTTTTTGTCAGGTATTCCGCTTCTCAAAAAGGTTACAAATATTTTTGTTCAGTAACCCGCCAGTTCTATAACACTATAGATGTCATTTTTTTTGAAAATCAACCATTTTATCCCACTCTTGATATTCAGGGGGGGAGACATGTAGAAGTTAGGAATATCAATTGTGGGATGTGAATATACCTCTATTACAGAACATACCTCAACCACAGATTCCATTGACAACTTCAGAAAAAGAACCTGTCCTACCATAGAGACTGATAGCACATTACTTGCAGTTAGTAAGTTACGTGTTTATAACAGGAGGAACAAAACTTAAGGTAAAGATAAAGTACTGGAGCCAACTATACACTGTCATGACTTAACTCCTGTACCAAGCATCTAGAATAACACAGGTAATGAGATTTCTGACTCAACTGTTGATATTGGTTTACCTATTGCTTTATGAAAGAGTGTTCGTTCTTGTACAATGCATTCCATACAGGATTATTTCTCTTCTATTAAGCTGTTTTCAAAGTATCACGCACTTGTGAGTAAGTTTGACAGTATCCCTCCTGAATCAAGAATAATTCATGAAGCTCTCAAGATCTCTGAATGGAATATTGCTGTCCAAGAAGAAATTACAGCCTTTGAGAAAAATGGGACATTGGAGTTATCTGATCTACCTTCAGAAAAGACTCTTGTAGGATGCAAGTGGATTTTCACCACTAAATACAATCCTGATGGTAGTGTTAGCTGCTACAAAGGTCGACTTGTCGCTAAACGGTTTACTCAATCTTATGGAATCGACTATCAAGAGACATTTGCTCCTGTAGCCAAGGACAACACAATTCGGGTATTATTCTCTTTAGCCTCTAATCTTGATTAACCTCTCTTTCAAGTTGATGTGAAAAATGCTTTTCTTAATGGTGATCTAGAGGAAGAAGTGTATATGGAAGATCCATTTGGATTCAAGATGAATCCTCAAAAGGTATACAAACTAAAAAAGGCACTGTATGGTCTCAAACAGTCTTCAAGGACGTGGTTTGAAAGATTCATCAGGGCAGTGAAACATATGAGATATGAACAGTGTCAATCCGATCACACTCTATTTGTTAAACATTGTATCACAGGAAAGAGAGCTATACTAATTGTTAATGTGGATGATATTATCCTAACAGGTGATCATAGTGAAGAGATTCAGAAATTGAAAAATTTTCTAGCTAGAGAATTTGAAATAAAAAATTTTGGGATACTCAAATATTTCCTTGGAATGGAAATTACCAGATCCAAGAAGAGAATTTCTATATTTCAACGGAAATACATTTTAGATCTCCTGAATAAGACAGGTATGTTTGGTTGTAAACTTGCAGAGACTCCTATGGAAACAAATGCTAAACTTGGTTTCAAAAGTGACAGTAAACCTGTTGATAAAGAGAGGTATCAAAGGGTTGTAGGCAAACTTATCTACTTGGCTCACACAAGACCTGACATCTGTTTTTCTGTTAGTACTGTGAGTCAGTTCACGTCTCAACCTACTGAGAAACACATGAGTGCTACCTATTGTATTCTGAGATACATAAACATGATACCTGGACAGGAATTATTCTTTTAAAAGAATATGGTCAGAGATATTGAGATGTATACTGATGCTGATTGGGTTGGATCTATGACAGATAAGAGATCCACATCTGGTTATTACTCATATATTTGGGGTAACTTAGTCACTTGACGTAGTAAGAAACAATATGTTGTATCAAGAAGCAACACTGAAGCTGAATTACGATCACTTGCACATGGAATATGTGAAGGAGTATGACTTAAAAAGATTCTACTTGAATTATGATTTTCTACTCCTACTGCAATGAGGATTTGGTGTGACAATCAATCAACTATTAGCATGACCAAGAATCCTGTGCACCATGAGAGAACTAAACATGTTGAGATTGATTGTCACTTCATCAGAGAAAAAATTGAAAGTCAGGATGTGTCACTCCTATACATCTTGATAAATCAACAAACAACAGATATACTCACTAAAGCACTACCAAAAAGGGAGTTCAACAATCTTGTATCCAATCTAGGGTTACTTAACATTTATGTAGCCTACATTGAGGGGGAGTGTAGAATGTACATATGTAGAAAATGTATATATATACATGTATACTTACACTAAGGGCAACTTAGTATTTTCTCAGGTTGTTAGGACAGCTGATATTGTTAGAACAGCTGGGTATTTCTTTCCACAATTTTTAGCTATTTTGTTAGCATCTTTTTAACGGTTTTTGTCCTGACTGATGGCCTATATAATAGCACATTTGTGCCCATGTAATCACAAAGAAAATCAGAGGATTTCTCCTCTTCTCACAAACCTTCTTTCTTTATTTTCTTCAATTACTATGAAGGAAACTTGTAACCAAGGAATAAGTTATATGGTAGGATTGGGAAATTTCCTATACCAAGACAGGCGCGGTTCCCATGGTTGTATTGGATCTCTGTGAACTGGTCCTGGTTGGATCAGGCGAGTCTGCCTGATCCAACTTGGAGTTGGAGATGTAACACTTTTGTTTTTTGTCATTTTATATAAGTCCTTTTCCCAAAAACATATACAACTGATGTGTAACATAGTTTGAATTTTTCTTATTTATAATATACGAGCATTTACTTTGACAACAAGATATGACAGTGCACTTGATTCCTAAGATTTGTTGTTGGTTGCATTCTTGAATCTTGAAAGAAAAAATTAAAAATGTTTGGCTGCTTTTCATCTTTGTTTTTATAGCATATCATGTCTTTATATTTCAGGGGATCGAATGATGGAATATATGAATATGGATGATCGATCAATTGGGATGTTTTGGGTTGTGTCCTACACAATGGCACAGCCGGCATGTGAAACAGTTATGAACTGGTTATCTTCTGCTCGAGTTGCTGAGTTACCAGGATCAAATATACAGCCGAATGAGAGGGCAATGGTGATGCAGGAAGTAAATCCATTGCCAATATCATTGTTATCCGGCTTTTCAATGAATCTATGTCTGAAGTTGGCCTACCAAATGGAAGATTCGTTATTTGTTGGACAGGTACATTGTTTTTCCTTTGTATCAGAGAGGTTCTTCTCAGGGATGGTGGTATATTTGTGGTACTTAAAAACTACATGTCTTTAACTGTTGTTAGAATTTTTCAAATTCACAGTTTGAATTTTATGGTTCAATTGAATAAAAAAGTGATTCAAATTTTATTAGTGAATCCCAATCTATCATGAATTCTAAGCATATATAAACGAACCGATAGTTGCGAGACTTGATCAAAATTTTCCCAATTCATGTGAATCTAGTTAAACTATATGTAACCAAATATTTAGATAAACCTTTTTTATTAACTATAGGATGCAATAATTTATACAATTTACTCCAAGAACAAGTAATTTTTTGGTTGTCTAATATTAGTATAAATTTCTTCGGATATTCTAATTTCTGATATATTTTCTTTAAAAAATAATATAAATGGCAGTCAATTTTAATTAATGAGCTATGTTCCATATCTTACAATTCAGGTTGCATTTCTCAATTCAAAAGATTGGATCTTTGATTTGCCATTGAAATCTTGGTCGAACAATTATAAATAGGAGTTACTGGCCAGTTAATTTATTTATTTCAGAAAGAATAAAACTTGGCCTGGTTATTTATGTCATATGTAGAAGGTTAAGAGAATAAAAAATGGGGATTACATTATTTTTGGCCCGGCGGAGACCCACCTTTTTGTTCCTTAGATAATTCTTTTGTTATTATGTTTGCATCTGGAATTTCTCTGAGGAGAATATCTTATTCTCTGTGGTTGTAACTATTTTTCTCTACTCTTAATAAATTTATTTTTCTATAACAAAATGGAGATAAAATATAAGGATGCAGAGAATGGAATTGCTGAAATCAATATACTGCATGTTCGATTCATGCTCTCTTGGCCATTGAATAGGATGGACATTATTTTTATTGCTGCTAGATTCTTTCATGCAGCTATAGGAATGATTCAATGTGCTAAGGGCGAGATGTTCTGATGTAATAGTTAATTTGTTCTTTGTCCACTTGACGAAAAGAAAAAAAAGAAATTCATTGACTTTTAATATTGGAACCAGCTTTTGCATTTTCTGTTAATGTTCTAATGAAATATTTTTGATGCAGGTTGTGCCAAGCATTGCGATGGTTGAGACATATACTAGATTGCTGCTCATTGCACCTCACTCATTGTTCCGCTTGCATTTCACTGTAATTTCTTAGCTTCTAAAATTTATTGGTTCTTTACTTGTTTTTTTTTTTCTGAAGCAGAAAAATTGTGAATTGATAATGTTGGAGCTTTTAAGTAAAAATAAGTATATAAATGCTTGACGTATGTTTGTTTGGATGCATGGCGTAAATTAGCCATTAGTCTCAATCATTATTAGATTTTTCTTCTTCCTTACTTGTAGAGGTTGATGGCAATAGCAGTTCAATGTTTTTACAGGGATTGCTAGCATTTTCAAACCCTTTTCATTTTGAAAACATAGGAAATCATTAAAAAGTGATTAATCTGTTCAGTCAAAGATCTGGCTGACAGTTGGGATTCTCGTATGGTCGCCTATTGCCCATGCTTGTTTTCTCTTTTTGAATGAGGACTATACTCCTCGAAGGCTGAAACTGTCCATTTAAGTGGACTGGTAAATGTTTTTCCCAAACAGAGTACAATGACGAAAATGGTTGGCTGGTTATGGTGAGATTGAATGTAGTGGAAGTTATGTTGTTCGTAACACAACCTTTAGTAAGTGTTTTGTTCTCTTGCATTTGCTTGCTGTTTCAAACAGCAATTTTTGAAGTTTGAAGGTTGTTTTGCATGGTCAAAGAGAATGGTGTAGAAACATGAGGAACTGGAGATTGGATGTGGCAAAATGAGTGGATTCAATTTTGGATAAACTCGGTTCAATATACTGGAAATTCTTACTTTTTTTTTTGAAATAAAAGAGAACTAATATTATGCACAAAGGTACCAAGGGGGTACCACCCCAATAACACGGAAATTCTTACTAAAAATAGGCATTAGCATTTTACTTAACAAAGTGATCCCTCAAAACCTCCTTAGACCCTGATCATAGAAAATCTTTCATTACTTTCTGTAATTGATTACTCAATTAAACACTTAAATAGAATAAAAAATACGAAGAAATGTTGGGAAAGCACACTTGAATAAAAGCAATCCAGCCCCCAAGAGCACCTTTCTATCTATCTAAATATTTGGAAATCTTGCATAGTATATGATTAAAGAGTAAGTCAGAGAATTCATACCATAAAAAAAGGTGGAAAAGGACTTCGAAAATTAGCAATGGCGATGAACTACTTGGTATTCAAGGGAATGAGAGAAAAGTAGTTCTTTATCTTTGCTTGACATGTAAATATCTTTTGTACATGGGTTTTCACCCTATTGGTGCTTGTGAATGTTTACTATTTTTATTTTTTTAAAAATAGTTCTTATCTTAAGCTAGTTTTTGGTTGTTTTTTTCTTAAGGAGCCTTTTAGTTGGTTTATATGTTAGTTAATAAAAATTGGAGGTATTTTGATACTTTGATTGATGTTTGGTTAGGGGAGTCTTGCATAGTGGTGTTGTTGAGGATGCTCATAATGCATATTTACTTTGGTCTTGTGTCCTTCGTTTTGGAGGCTTCCAAATATGTTGTTGTTGTTGGTTTTGTTCCCTTTTTCGTATATATATATTTTTTGCTTGTTTCTACATTTCTGAGTATATCTCATCTTCTCTCTGGTACTTTCTTCCCTCTATGTTAATATTTCTTTTTCTATGAAAAGAAGATAGTACTATTTATTTGTTTATAAGCCAACAGTTATCTTTCTGCCAAACAACATCAAGTCCCTGTCCTCTTTGATTTGCTTTTTTCTTTAAAATCTATTTGATTGATAATAAGATTAAGGTTATTTCCTATTATTCATTACACGCTCAACTTTGAGGGCAATGTGCAATAGATGAAGAGTACGAAGATGACTGTTAAAAGTATTCAGTATTAGTTGGAAATTGTTGCTCCATGGAACATATAAACCAGTTCTAGACTTATTTTAATTTAGTATAGAATACTGGCTAAATGAAATAATTTACCTCCACTACAACATGTCTTTTGATGTTATAGACTAAGATTTAGAAATTTCTTTCAATCTTACTGATGGATCTTATATATGTTTTGCCAACTTTCAGAATCTGTTGTTTTCTTTTTGCTTCTTTGTTTCTGATTATAAACTAAATTGTTATCGTCCTTACAAGAGATGTTGGATTTCTGTATGAAGTCTTTTTTGCTTCTTCAGTTTGTCTTGTTTTCTGTTTTCTGTTTTTGTTAGAATATGTCTTAGATCTGCTACTTCTTGCAGCATTTGTCACAGAGGAATCCTTCCTTATTGAGCAAGCCAGGGGTAACTCTTTTGGTGCTTGAAATTCTGAACTATCGCTTACTTCCACTCTACAGGTAACTGCCTCCATTGTCTGACTGCTGGCACTACTTTCTTTTTTATCCAACTAGTTACAATATTGAGGGATAAAAATATAACTGAGTTGTATAATATAAATTTAATATTCTTTCTTGGTGCCTGGGCATTTAAGCCCCATAAGCAGAGAGTCAAGCTGATTTGGTGGAGCACTCCCAGTGGTGGAGAGCAGTGGCCTAACCAAAGGCTCAATGAGTTTGAGTTCTAATCTTTCGTGAAACTTCTGGTTATCATTTCCTCTTTACAGGTATCAGGGGAAAAGCAAAGCATTGATGTATGATGTAACAAAAATTATTTCTACCCTCAAAGTGAAGCGTGGCGATCATCGTGTATATAGGTTGGCTGAAAACTTGTGCATAAATCTTATCTTGTCACTGAGGGATTTTTTCTCAGTGAAAAGAGAAGGAAAGGTGGATATTGTTCTCTTCAAACTGAAAATTTTTCTGTTATAATTTACTTTGCTTTAAGCTGGCAGCGTGAGGTGCATATTAATTAGGTTCTTTTGGCAGGGTCCGAATGAATTCACAGAAACTTTAAATCGCATAACCATAATTACTCTTGCTATCACCATTAAAACACGTGGAATTGCAGATGCTGATCACTTACTTTATCTGCAAACAATGTTAGAACAAATAATGGGAACTAGTCAACATACATGGTCAGAGAAAACACTACGCTATTTCCCATCTCTTCTCCGTGATGCATTAATAGGGCGAATGGATAAAAGAGGCCTAGTAATTCAAGCTTGGCAACAGGTTGGTTATTGTACTTCCTTCACCTGCTCATGCTCACAAGCAAGTGCTATTTTCATAACCATATGACAAGATGGGATGACCTGATGTTTTCTCTTTAATGATTTCTTCCTTTTAATTCATTTGTTAAAGGTGTGGTAGTGCACAAAGAGAGGATGCTGGAAAAGAAAAGAAAAAGAAAAAGACAAAGAGTATATGCTACTAAACCAAGAAACTCTCTACTAAAGTAATTTTTCTGGTGTGGGTTCCGTGTAATGATTTTTAGGGTCTCCAGGGATTGCATTATGTGTCTTGGCAGAATATTGTAAGAAAGGATTAGAGAATTTAGAGATTATTTTCTCCCCTATTTTAACTGTGAACAAGGGTAATTAGAAAAATTCCTTGGGTCTCAGAGTGTAGAAAGCAATTCTAGCTTTAGGATAAATTCCTGCTTGCATTTTTATGCATAGATCGCAAAGATATATTCACACAAGTTTAGAAATAATATGGGATCTTAAAACTACCTCCGAAGGGATAGATAACTCCATGATTGCTTAGGTAACCCTCAAACTATATGGAAGAACTACTTCTCATGTCTAAGAAAAAAATAACATAGGCTGTTCTATACAGAAATTTTCTAGGAACTCCAGAAAATTTGATTTACTTTTTTCTTTCCTGTTTTCATGTGTAAATTACTGATGTGGCCCATAAATTCATTCCCTCCCTTGAAAGTGGGCTTGTCCTCGAGCCACACACGAAGGATGCCTGAGAGTCAAAGAGTCTTTAAACCCAAAGGCGACCTTGTCATGTTCCCTCTCCAATCTGTCTTACTCTATTTCTACTTAGTCATATTCCAATTCAAGGAATTAGTACTTCAAAAGTTAACATAGCTTCGGCTTTTATACCAGTTATTAGGGTCTTGGTTCAAGGATCAGTATTTGGGGATGATGGAGAACCAAGGAATTTGAGAGTTCCTAGAAAGAAAAAAATTGGAGGACATAGAGGGTTGTCTTTGTCCAACTATGCAAAAGTTTTGTTGGCTACAGATACTAAAGAATGATCATGTACCTGAAAGGAAGATGTAACTGAGTTAGGTTGAGTTGAGTTTTGATATGAAATCTGCATAAAAAACTCTAAAGTTCATGATCTTAGCAATAAGTTAATACAAGTTCATACATATACAAGATGTTATAGTGCTATATGATGATGTTAGATGATATCTAAAACTCTCTCTCTTTCTAAAAAGCTCTCTACCATTGACTTCTTCTTCACCATCTCCAACCCTCTCTCTCTATCCTTTCTCCTTATTAAACATCACACCATTATTAGAGCCTAGGGCTATCCCAACAGAGGTAAGGTTGGCTGCAGGGCTGACCAAGACTCTTTTCTTCTCACTCCACAATGCTGCCGGTTAACACAAAACGATTTGTCATTATTGGCAGAAAATCCTTTGATATCCTTTGTGAAGGCAAGAAGCTAGACAGGATACGTATAAGCAAAAATGGATGTGGAAATAGAGTGTCCATTACTCTTAGCAAGAACGAAGTGTCATGGATCATAGATGCCATGAGGGATTTCTACTGGAATAAGGGCAGAAACATTTGTGGAAAGAATGTCAAAGACCGTCACCGTCATCTATACCTAGTACTAATGTGGAACAGAAGCGACGTCTTGGTTCTTTTGGAAGAACAAGAAAAATCTACCAAAAGAATCTTTATCCCTGATGGGTATGGGGCGGGAGGATGGTGGAGATTCATAAAATCAGTTTTTGAACTTGTCGAGATTCCACTGGTGAACACCTTCGCAGAAAAGACCGACAAAATTTGCTCCAGCAATATCCTAGCCTTAGAAGCTCTAGTTCCTCCTTTGCTCTCCATTTGTTGCCCGAACTGTACGCATAGCTTCTAGGTCACACTTATTGCATCGAAGAAAAAATCTTTCGCGGGCAACGATGGAAGCTTTTAACTCAGATCCTTCTCGGGTGAAGAAGAGTGTGCCCGACCCGATACCTAAAATTCAGGATTTTGAATTTCAAATCCCCACTAACAAAGCGACCTTTGACATCAGACCTCAAACCCAACTGAGGATCCAGAGGCCCAAGGTTGTTGGGCCTAAACCACAACCCGAACCAAACAAGAAGCCCAAATTTACGTGGGCCGATAAGGGAAAATGGACCAACCTAGTTGCCCCGAGCAAACAAAAACACCACATACCCAGCCCAAGAAAGAAAATATAAAAAGTCAAATTGGAATGGAGAAGAAAGAGAAAAATGGTCGGGCTACTCACTATTTTTCTCAGTCTAGAGAACAAGAGTTTTCCCTCTTGACAAAAATTCCTCGCTGTTAGTCCGAAGGTGAGTGCAGGGCTTTGCCATGATATGACAACAACTACCTTTAGCTCAAATGATTGGTTCTCTTCTACGGCCAACACAAGCCAGGCTTCCATCAACCATGAAGATGAAGGCTTTCATGTTTCGGGGTTGGAAATGGTGATGGTGCATCTGGAATCCGCACAACATACGGTGCAAGCGATGAAAGATGACAGCTAGTCGGAGGTTATTGCTTTGTTGGACCGATTCCTTAAAGAAAAGCAAGGCTGCAATGTTCAATTCTACTCGGAATGGATCCTCAAGAACATCTATTGCATTAGTAAGTACCTTGGTGCTTCTTATTTTGGTTATGAGGAAGAAATACTCTCTCTTTTTACAGAATTGAAAACAAAGATGAACGACAAGAACAAGAGCAAACTGCTTCTTGAATCGGGGAAGAAAAAACAACATGAAAGAGGCTCCAGAGAATTGAAAAGACTCAAGTTTTCTATAAGCGATGATGAGCGAAGCAGAAAGAACAAGGGAAGTGGGGAAGAAGACAACACATCTCAATGATAGAAAAAATTCTAGACAAAATTCTATCTTGGAATGTAAGGGGCTTAAATGATGTAAGAAAAAGATCTGTAATTAGGGGATGCCTCAACAAATGGTAGCCGACCATCATCTGTCTGCAAGAAATAAAGAGGAAAGCAATTAATGACAAGGTCATCAATAGTCTTCGGCGTATGAACGAGATTGGTTGGGAATTCTTGCCGGCGAAAGGGTCAGTTGGTGGCATTCTTATCATGTGGAGAAAACATCGTGTATGTCTTCTGCCAAAATGTTATCCCCGGTGATGTTACAATTTCTTTTCTTTTCTAACTTGAACAATGGAGATCCTCGGTTCTTTTCTGGTGTCTGTTGCAGATGTAACAACTCTGAACGTAATTTGTTGACTGTGGAATTAGAACTTGTCAAATTCTCTTGGGGGAACAAAGGCATTGTGGGTGGGGACTTCAACATGATCTTAAAGAGTTCCGGAAGATCGGGCAGCGCCTATAATGACTTGGGCATTGAAGAGTTCCATTAATTAATCACGAATATGGACCTCATTGACCTGCCTCTTAAAGGTGAAAGATGGACTTGGAGTAATCAACGTAAGCAACCCTCCTCCAGAATAGACAGGTTCCTCATCTCCACTGATTTCTTATTGGTCCTTTCAAATATCAGCCAAAAATTAATGCCCAAATCAATATCAGATCATCATCCCATTATGCTTGTCTCGGATGGAATATAGTGGGGTCTCGTTCTTTTCCGTCTTGACAACAAATAGATCAAAGTGGATAGTTTCAAGGCTCTGGTGGCTGATACATGGAACAATACTTATGTGAGGGGATCCCCCAGTTACAAAATTGTCCACAAGCTCATGAAACTCAAAGTTGAAATTAAAATATGGGCAAAAACCACTAGCAGAAAGGAGGAGGAAAAAGTCTCGGACATCTTCACTAAAATTGAAGAATTGGACATATGTGAAGTAAACAGGACCCTGACCTCCACGAAAAAGAAAGAAAGAAATCGTTGGAAGTAGACTTGGCTCACTGTTTACAAATGGAAGCTACTGCATGTAAGCAAAACTCTAGGAAAAAATGGTTAAAGAATGGTGATAGAAATTCCAAGTATTTCCATATGCTTGCTAATCATAGAAGAAGAATAAATTACATTGAAGAAATCATTGATGGCAAGCTTACCAAAGGAAATGAGGAGTTAAGGGAAGGAGAAAGAATGCACTTTCAAAAGCTATACACAGAGCTTACTACTTGCTGGCCTAGACTGGATGATCTTACATTCAACAGCCTTGATGAAAGGGAATCAAATCAATTGGAAATGAACTTCATAGAGAATGAACTTCTTGATTGTCTTTGGGAATGCGATGGGGACAAGGCCCCAGGTCCAGATGGATTTAATATCAAATTCATTCAATCCTTTTGGGAGATTGTTAAAGGAGACATCATTGATTTCTTGAAAGACTTTCATGAACATGAAACTTTTGTAAGATCTCTCAACTCTGCTTTTCTTGTTATGATTTGTAAGAAAACTTGCCCTGAATGTATTGATGATTATCAGCCAATAAGTCTTATTGGTTGCATTTATGAGCTTCTATATAAGGTGTTGGCAAAAAGACTTTCCAAGGTGCTCAATCAACTCATTGGCAATTACCAAAACGCATTTGTATTTGGCAGATAGATTGCAGACACAATCCTAATTGCTAACGAAACGGTGGATGGTGTTATAAGAAGTAACAAGCCTGGGGCGCTTTGCAAACTAGATATGGAGAAAGCATTTGATCACATCAACTAGGGCTTCATTGATTACATTTTGGTAAGACTTGGTTTTGGCAACAAATGGAGAAATTGGATCAGAACTTGCATTACTTCCTCTAGTTTTGCGGTTATTATTAATGGTGGTCCATCTCATTTTTTTACTGCCTCTAGAGGCCTGAGGTAAGGAGATCCCCTATCTCCTCTTCTGTTTATCATAGTGATGGAAGCCCTACACAAATTACTTGGGAGAGCAAAGGAGCTACCCATTCTTAAGTGGATTACTGTAGGCCACAATGGAAATTCTATGGAAATCTCACACCTCTTCTTTGCAGATGATGCTCTTATCTTCTGCCAACCGGAGATCAGTTCTATGCCTATTCTTGAAATGCATTTTACTTTCTCGAGTCTCAAGAGTAATCTTCTTAAATCTGAGCTGGTTGTCCTTGGGGGCTTTGCTGGGGACCTATTGGTCCAGGTTCTGAGCTGCAAACTTTTCCAACTGCCCATCACTTATTTAGGTGTCCCTCTTGGTGCCAAATTCAATGATAAAAAAAGTTGGGATCCTATCATTGATATGTTCCATAATTAGTTTGCTAATTGGAAAAGGAACCTCTTATCCAAAAGTGGTAGATTGACACTCATCAAAAGCACTCTTTCGAATCTTCCAATTTATTACTTATCCGTGCTTCACATGCCAACCAATGTTGCAAGAAAATTAGAAACTATTCAATGCAACTTCTTATAGGGAGACAACGATAACGATATCAAAAAATACGACCTTGTAAATTGGAACAATGTCAAAAAGCCCTACAAAGAGGGTGGCTTGGGTTTGAGATCTTTGGACAAACTCAACAACGCACTACTGGTAAGTGATTTGGAGATTCTGGAATGATAAGAGCAGCTTCTGGAAAATGTGATCAAATGCAAATGGTTCAATGGGAATACTCATGATTTGGCCAATTAAAACAGCTCTTATGGGCTAAGTTTATGGAAGAAGATTTGGGAACTCAACAATCTAATATTACACAATGCTAGATGGAAAATTGGCAAAGGCAAGAAGATATGGTTCTGGTATGATATTTGGCAAGGTTCAGATACTCGACAGGCTCGTTTTCCACAGATTTATGCAATAGCCAGAGACAAAACAATGCTGGTCCATGAAGCTACTGTTTATGACTCGCATATGCACTGGCAGGTTTTGGTTAATAGACATTTGCAGGACTGGGAATTAGATGAGTATGAAGATTTGCTCCAGACTTTGGTAAATTTCCATTTATCTGACCAAAAGACAAGCTCAACTGGATCCACAGCAAGAATGGTCATTTCTCTGTCAAATCCCTTTATAATCTCTTGACTGGAAACTGAAGTTTTGAGAATGGAAAAATTCTCTTCTATTTGTCTTATTTCCTTCACCATGAGGTGCTTATTTGTAGGAAAGGAATACAACCAATTCCTAACAGTTTTATGGGGGAAAGGAATAACAATATATGGTTACCGGACACACCTTAACCATTTGATGATTCCTCCTACTAGCCAAACAGAAATTAAACCAAATTCCCTTCTATGATTTTCTACAGAAACATTACTGGAGGGCTGCGAAATTTCCCCGCAAATATAATTTGGAAATTGGGAATCACTCCCATAATGTCTTTCTTTGCTTGGGAGGCTGCGAGAGGTCGCATTCTCATGATGGATAACCTGATGGAAAGAGGCCTTACCACTGTCAATCGCTGCTTCTTATGCAAAAACAGTCTGGAAACTTGCAATCATCACCTTCTCAAATGCTCTTTATCTCTGAATCTTTGGTCCACAGTCTTGGTTTATTGGACATTTCTTGGGTTAGGAATGAAACAATGCCGACTACTAGCTTGGGAAGGTCTTAGCAGCAAGAATAAGTCTCTAGGGCTCATTCCTCTCACCATCAACCGTGCTTTTGAAGGAAAAAATGCAGATCTAAGCATCATCATTGATAATTGGTTCCATTATTTTGGCTCTATAATTTTAGGGCATAATTTAGATTGTTTTGATGATTTTGGTTTTATTGTTGATATGCTAACGGACATGTGAACTTTTTGTACATGGGTGGTGCCCCCGTGGCGCCCTTACATCATTACATATTCACACTTTTATTTCAAAAAAAAATAAATTTAAGAATGTTTTGATCAAGAGTAAATGAAAGGCTCCTTTGTGCAGAATATGAATCCATAAATTGCAAGGCAGGTCTTTCTAGTAGTTGCAGTTATTCTGTTATCTTTAAGCATTGTAATACTGCTTACGGTGTGATTTAATTTCATTTTTCTCCAATTTCTTTCATTGTGAGTTTCAAAGATTCTCATCAGCATGTGGAAAAGGGATTGTAGGTTGACATTTTTGTTTCTTGTTGGATCTGCTCTTGCCTTTACGGAAGCCATACGGCTAGTTTTGATGAGAAGCATGAACAAGGTTTATAAATCCGTTTCATTGTATTAATGAGCTTGCTTCTTTACTTTGAGGATGCTGCTTTGCGGATATATTAAATCTCATGACTTGAGAAGTCCTGTACCTGGAGAAGTTATGTTTTGTGATCATATTACTCTGCATGGGTTTTGGAGGAACAATGATTAGAAAATATTATGGAGGGAGATCTTTGTTGATTTATGGTCCTATGGCTAGAAGGGAATGCCAGAGTTTTTAAAAACTGTTCAAAAATGGTTTTGATGGCTGGAAAAGATTGTATTAGGTTCTTTCACTCCTTGGTTTTTCTTTTCTATGTTCTGGGAGGGTATCTTGTCCTCCTTATAATTACTTTTTCTTTCTTCCTTCCAAATAATATTTGTTCTTTTATAAAAGAAAATGCTCTTTTCATTTATTACTTATCTGCAATCACACTCCTCTCTACCTCTCTTACGAGTTCAATATATTGGACGTGCAAATCTTGGAACCTAGTGAAGTTGCTGAGCTCATAAATTTTGAAATTCACTTTGCACTATCTTTCAATACCTATTTGCTTGCAGAACTTGATGCTACGACTTTGTCAATACTCTTTTTGCAGGCAGAAACAACTGTTATTAATCAATGCACCCAGCTTCTCTCTCCATCTGCTGAACCTAATTATGTTATGACATACCTGAGTCATAGTTTTCCTCAACACCGACAATATCTATGTGCTGGAGCATGGATTCTAATGCAGGGACACCCTGAAAACATTAATAGTGCAAATCTGGTACTGCAGTTTGGTTTCTTTCTCCTCACCAGGAAGCATTGCATAGCTAATATAAATATTGTCCGATAGATCTCTCCCTAATCCATAAAGTATTGTTAATTATTAGATGAATAATCTTTTCTTTTTCTTGAAATTGAGTCAGGCTCGTGTTTTGAGAGAAATTTCCCCTGAAGAAGTGACAGCAAATATATATACAATGGTGGATGTTCTACTCCATCACATACATGTGGAGCTTCAACATGGACACGTCTTGCAGGTTTTGTATCTAAGTTTTTCTTTTATGGCTCATTAAGCAGTGTGAGTCACATGGAAATCAAGAAGTGGGAATGGGGAGTTTCTTTTATTTTTTTATTTTTTTTTAAAGAAAATTTTTCTGAAATGAAGATGAAGAGAATTAAAATAAAAGACAATTGAGAGGAAAAACGTAATCTTTCTTCACTTGTTTGATGTGAGAGAAGCGAAGCATAAGAGAAGTGATGCAAATGTTGGATATTACAGAATTTTTCTTCACATTTAATCATGACATTGAAGGATATATTTAAAACGGAAAATAGACTAGATTTATCAAATTTCATGTGTTACCACTTTAAAAGATGGACATGGTGTGAAATTTTTTGTTTAATTCTTCTCCTTTTATTTGCATTCGAGCAAGAGCAGTTACTAATTTTCTATTAGTTTGATCTCTTGTCTCAAAGCATCACCTCTCTTCATTTCCATCAAATGAAACACATTATTAATGTTTGTTAAGATTTGTATGTATTTTTTTTTATATTCCAGTATGTTATCTAATATTCTGATTTTTCAGGACATCATATTAAAAACTTGTGCAAATCTCGCATTCTTTGCTTGGACCCACGAGTTGCTTCCTTTAGATATTTTGTTTTTGGCCCTTAACGACCGTGATGATGATCCCCATGCTTTGCGTATTGTGGTAAGCTAAGTTCTTCTACACATTTAGGACATGTTCTTTTTGTATGCATAATTTGTGTAGATTTAGTTGTGCACTAGGCAAATCCACAAAAAAATCTTATTATCTTTTTCTTTTTGAGAGAGTCTATATTAGGAAATCTTATTAAGGCAATCTTTCGGATAAAATTGATCTTATAGAATTTAAACTGGAAATAAAACAACTAACTCCAAATTTCATCAATTTTAATGAGATTTAGAATCAATTGTTTCACTACACTTTAAATTCTCTAAGAGGTCTCTTTTTGTCATTTTTAATAAAATTTCTATTACCCCCTAGTTAAACCAAATATGTTTTTAAAAATTTGCCTTAAAAGTAGGAGAAAATATATTAAAGGCAAAGTGCCAAAGGGGGTGCAACCCATGTACAAAGATAGAAAAGAATTTACAGATCCGTAATAATATCAACAATAGATCCCAAATCCTTTAAACTATCTAAATTGTGGCCAAAAATAGTAGAACCAAAAAAACGTAGCCTTCTATTCTTGATAGTATCAAAATCAGTATATCTATCTTCAAAAAATTTTTTGTTCTTTTCATTCCAAATCACCCAGATAGCAGATAGAGGGATAAATTTGTGACATTTGTGCTTCGTAATAATTCCTCCCCAAGTTAAAAGTTCTTGGGAAACAGTCCCAGCTAAAACCCATTGAACGCCAAGAAAGTTATAAATCATATTCCAAAGCTTGGCCGTGTTCGGATACCAAAGAAGAAGATGATTAGTAGTTTCAGTGTTCAGCATGCACAAAGGACATCTGTTAGCCAAATTCAGTCCTCTCCTCATGAGATTGTCAAACGTAAGAATTCTTCCCTTTGCAGCTTCCCAAGCAAGAAAAAGAAATTTTGGGTGGTGCAATAGAATTCCAGATAATTTTGTAGGGGAAAATACCAGGAGATCTAGGTACACAAGAAGTTTATAGAATGACTTGATAGAAAAGGCACAATTTCTATTTGCTTTCCAGAAAAGACGATTTTCACTAAAATTAAGATTAATGGTAGCTAAAAGCTGGAGAAGACTTTCATATTCCTGCACTTCCCAGTCCTATAAGTTTCTGGTTACCTCCACATTCCAATAATTATCCTCATATACATTCCTGATGAGTGAATTTCTGTTCTTGGCAATGACATAAATGTGAGGGAAGCGATTATGAAAAGATTCCATACACACCATCTATGCATCCAAAAACGGATAGTGTTTCCGTTGCCCACTTTCCAATTAGAACCATTAAGGACAGAATCTAAACTGCGTACCTTTTCACTAGGTTTTCCCAAAAACAGATTTGTCTGAGTCAGTAAGATCAGGGCGGTTATTACCAAACCATTTACAATCCACAACCTCCTTCCAGAGTTTGTTATGTTCACAAAAATACCTCCAGATTCATTTACCACGAAGAGCTTTATTAAGAGTTTCTATGGATTTCAGTCCCAATCCACCAGCAGTAACCGGTTTCTTCACCTCGTTCCAATAAACCAAATGAAATTTACGGCTATTATCATAATCACCCCAAAGAAAACAACATTGAATAGTTTCCAACTTTTTGGCCATTTTCTTCGGAATGGATAAAACCGATAAGTAATAGATGGGAAGATTGGAGATGGTACTCTTTATAAGTGTTAGTCTCCCATCCTTGATATTTACTTTTCCATCCAGCCAATCTATTTTGGAATAACTCAACAATGGGTTCCCAGCTTCTTGTATCTTTGCGATTACTGCCCAAAGGACTCCTAGATATTTAATCGGGAGTTGAAAAGATCTGCAGCCCCTGACAGCAGCAAAATTAGGAGAAGTGTCAGCAAGTATATGATTCGAACTATGCATATCCAGATCAGTAAGCTCAGATTTATCAAGGTTTATATTTAAGCCTGATATTGCTTGAAAGCATAATAAGATGCACCTCAAATGAAGTAAGTTACCAATATCTGGTCTGCAGAAGAAGAGAGTATCGTCAGCGAAGAAAAGATGTGTAATTTCTGTCTTTTTATTTTGGTTCCCTATTGTGATGCCCTTGAACAGCCCCAGATTACTAGCCTTGTCAATAAGCTTGTTGAGCACTTCCATTACAATAATAAAAAGAAGTGGAGATAATGGATCACCTTGCCTTAAACTCCTAGCAGCCTTAAAGAATTTGGAGGGCCCACCATTTATCAAAACAACAAGAGTTGGTGAAGTGATGCACATTTTTATCCAACTTCTCCATTTCCGACCAAAGCCCAAGTTATCAAGCATGTGGTCAATGAAATTCCAAGATACATGATCAAAAGCTTTTTCCATATCTAGCTTACAAATCAAACCATTGTCCCTTTTTCTTGTAACATCATCAACAACTTCGTTGGCGATAAGAATAACATCTGTGATTTGTCTGCCATGCACAAAAGTCTGTTGATTTTGGCTAATAATTCGGATAAGAACTTTGGAAAGTCTGTTAGCAAGCGCCTTGGAAAGAAGTTTGTAAAGGTTGATGATTAAGTTGATCGGTCTAAAGTTCTTTAAATTACAACATTTTTCTTTTTCGGGATCAGAACAATAAATGTTGAATCTATAACAAAGGAAGCGCTGTTATGAAAATCTTTGAAGAAACCCATAATATCACCCTTCACTATTTCCCAGAATTCTTGAAAAAATTTAATATTAAAACCGTCCATGTCATGGGATTTATCACCCATCACAGTCTATGAGATAATCCAGAATTTCTGATTCAGTAAATTCAGCTTCCATAGTGGAATTGGCAGAATTGTCTAATCTATCAAACTGTAGATTGTTAAGAAGAGGTCTAGCAGGAAACTCCTCTGAAAATATTCAAGAAATCTGATCTGGCTGCTTCTCGCATTGCTTCATTACCCTCAATTTTATCATTTTGAGTGAGAATTTTACCTTTTCATAATTAAAGTGTAGATTTCCAAATGAATGACACAATAATGGTCATTTGTTGCAAAATAGAAGAAAATACGAAAAGAAAATGGAAAGGCCTCAATTTAGAATAACCTTCAAATTGTTTGCAAATTAGATAAAGACATATTCTAAAAAAAAATCCTTGTGCCTTGGCCAACAGAAATGCCAAAGCCACCACTTTGGTGCAAATAAGACCAGAATATAAGATGTGATTATTGAAATATTTGGCATCATGCTCTAACCATAAGGCCCAACACTGAACAAAGACAGCACTGCACCGTAAAGCTTTAGACTCCTTCCACCTAATCCACCCCGTCAAATGAATGGAGAAGAAAGCTTCCAAGGTAGAGTGGAGTCAATAAAATATAAGATAAAAATAAAAACTAATAGGATCAAAATCATCTTTTATTATAACTAATGGGGTCAAAGTTATCATTTATTATGACTAATGAGATCAAACTTGCCAATAATAGGACATATAAATTATTTTTTGTTAACTACATATAAGTAATATATTATTTTTTAACATCAAGTGGTGCAATGGCCCCACTTGAGTTATAAAGGAGTTGCTTCTGCCAAAGGCACAAGATAAGCTGAGATCATAACCTCCCAGTCTTCTTACAATGTAACAACAAACGGTTGTTTTGTTTGAACTGTAGGGATATACCATATGTATGTTACGAGAGATAGCTTAACACCCCAAACGAAAACTATTTAGGGTTTCATCCATTCATTATGGCTTAGCATGTATGTTATTTACATCATTATGTATAAAATGGTAAATTTTGTACATAGGTGGTACCCCCTTGGTACTTATATCAAAACAATTCATACTTTATATTTTAAAAAAATTATTTATGCAAAAGTTCATAAGTTACTTGATTCAAATCTTATAATATCCATTTGTGTGATGTAGGACAAGTAGGATAAAAAACCAATTTGTCCATATGGGTGGGAAATAAGAAAATAAAGGTCGACCCGAAAAAATAAATATAATAAGTAGACTGAACGAAATAGGTTAGATAACAAGAATTAGAAAAGTTTAAAAAAAGATATAATATAGAA